CACCATGCTTCTAAGAAAACTGTAGGACACTAAGAAGATGTGTCTATAAATATACTATGGTTCATTTAAAATTCCAAGGTTGTTTTTTCTTTTTCTCTTTCTTTGGAGAGATTTTTGCTATAGGGCATGTGCGCTCGCCAGAAAGACAGAGAGAGGCAGAGAGACAGAAAGCGAGAAATCACCCCCTGGGGGGATGGTCACGCCGCAATCCCTTCTCCTCCATTCTCCTCTCAGGATCTTGGGCACGCACGCACAGGCACCCGGCGTGAGTTTAAGCCACCGAGTCCGGGACTCGAACTGTGATCGACTACATGGGAGTCCAGTGACACAGCCATTATGCTAACTGCTGGTCCCAAAATTCCAAGGTATTTTTGACAGAAATTACAACGAACCTGCCCAAACGAACCCTGTTCACTTGAAAAAGGTGAGCTGCAATGTGCCAGGACTTGAGAAATACCGACTGGCAAGACTTAATTATTACTTTTTTAGCACTTTAAAGCCACAAATGATAAATCAGTGGCCAGGGACCATATGTCAAGGTTTTCAACACTTTCATCCAGCTCTTTAATACAAACGTTACATGGTTTCCAAAATGGTACAAATACCTTAAAATACTTATTTTCTCCATGAGACTGAACCTCTCTCAAACTAAACTCTCCCATAAAATAAATTCCTATTTTAGTAGTTTGTCCCTTCTGCCTTAGGCTAATGATCTCTGGTAAGTACCAGTTAGACCTTTACTGCACTAACTACTGTTTTTCACTGAGTACTTCAACAATTCCATTTCAGAACAAAAAAGTGCATTACCTCATGAAAGTTCAGAGAAACAGTCCTCACAGAGGAGTCTATCAAAATATTCTCTGTACACTCAGTGCTTTAAGCTCCTCGCAGGGACTGAAATTTCCCCTACGTTCATATATAATGCAATAATAAACTGTGTGTACTTAGTATTTAATTACATTGAATGAAATCAGACTTTCGAAAGTAGACAGACTTAGCTTTGGAAAAGGACAATCAGACACTGGCTTTATCCTGCTTCCACTTTAAAGGACTTGGACATGAAACAAAACACCCGAAACACCAACCTTCAGGCAGTGGGCAACAGCTTACACAGGGCAGTACCCTGGAGAAGGGAGGGAACTGCCCCAGCTTACAGCTGGGAGAGTTTTCTGGGTGCGGGGCAGGGAGCAGAAACCTAGGAGTCAAGTCAGTCTCTGCCCTGAGGACTCAAGGACGACAGAGGAGGCCCAGAAGTCTTGCCCGTGGGGTGAAGTGTGGGAGAGGAAAGAGCCGCACAGGGTGTGCTGGAGCTCAGCAGAGTGACCTTCAGCTGGGAAGTGACGGGATACATGCAAGACAACTCCCGAGGATGGAGAAAGAACACCAGCAGGGGCAGGCAGCCACGGTGGGCGACCTGTGACGCATCCCGGACACCATCCCGGACACGGAGCAGAGTATTCAGACAGTCCTGCCTCAGCAGGGGACCGCAGGGAGGCTGCTCCACGGCACCTCACACAACTTAAAAGCAAGCAACGAAAGGATCGACTCATTTCCAAGTAACGTAACTGCAGTCCAGGACACGGGTCAAGAATGGTTTGAAAAGAGCGTGACTGGGGCCAGCAGGTGGCATGGTGGTTAAGGGTGCCAGACTCCCACATGGCTGACTGCAGATCAAGTCCTGGACCTGGCAGCTTGCTCTCTCTCTCCCTCCTCTTTCTCTCTGTCTGTCTCTGCTCGAAATGGGAAAATAATGATAATAAATAATTCTTTTTTTTTTTCTTTGAGAGGTTTTTGCTATAGGGAGTATGTACTCGCCAGACAGACAGAAAGAGAGACAGAGAGACAGAAAGCAAGAAATCACCCTCCCCCCCAGGGGGGATGGCCATGCTGCAATCCCTTCTCCATTATCCTCTCAGGATCTTGGGCATGCAGGCACATGCACCTGGTGGGAGATGGACTCCATGGGAGTCCAGCAATGTAGCCATTACGCCATCTGCTGGTCCCATAAATAAACTGACCTAGAAATATCTACTAATCCAATCATCAGTGATAAGAACAATCTCAAACAGTAAATTAGTTATTATAATTAATACACATTAAACATTAATGCTAAATAAATTAAACATGAATACAGAATGAAACAAGAACAAAGTAAATCTATAGTGATGTACAAAGTACCCAAGGTATATTTTAAATGATAAAAGTATGTTACAGAACAAAAGCATGATCCCATTTATTAAAATGTATATGCCTGTGTGTAAACGTATTTTCAAAAGAAACATCTGGAAGGATACTTACACGATAATTAAAAATTATGCTGATGTTGGTCAAGGAAGGCAAAAAGGGCTAGATACTTTATATTTTTGTTTTCTTTTCCTTTACTGTGAGCATATGTGTCATTTGGGTAACTTTAATTTATTCACTTGAAAGAGAATATTTTACATACTCAAGTAACGAAAGCTGAGTGTTAGCTTTTAAGCAAAATTTACTATTTGACAATCTACTGAATAACTATAATAAAACTACAAGTTTCTTAGAAACAATTACTTAGGAATAGGTTGCTCAAATTTGTTGTTTTTCTAAATCATAAAAGGAAGTTATTTATTTAATATCTGAATCATAATTGATATTTACAACATGATTATAGGCAAAATAATGAGACTGGGGCCAGCAGGTAGCACAGTGGTTAAGGTGCTGGACTCCTACAAGGCCAACTATGGTTCGAGTTACAGACCTGGCGGCTTGAAAACCACACCGGGCACCTGAATCCCAGGAGAATGGATTGTGATGTGGCCATCCTCCTGGGGGTGATTTCTCACTTTTTCTCTCACTCTCTGCCTCATTCCTACAAGCACACCTACTTTATAGCAAAAACCTAGGAAAAATTAAAAAATTTTAAAAATGAGACTGAAGAATAGAAATGCAACCAAGCGTGCACACACCCTACTGTTGTGTTATGAGACAGCTCTGGAGGCACCAGCGGCCCTTGCTGACCAGCGCCGTGTGACTGCAGACTCCAGCTAAGTGGAGTCCAGTACAATGTGATGCCAAGAATGGGCATCGGAGGCCAGGGCAGCCAGGCGACGTGTGGCAAAGTCACAGCGTCGTCAATTCTGAGGATCATGAGCTGTTTCGATGTTTGGTGATTCAGACATGTCACCATTTCAAACTAATTTCCACTAACTACTTTGAATGATTACAGTTTTATGGTATTTTTAAAATTGAGACAGACTTCTGTAAACAGCTGAAGTCAGAGCAAAGAAATGGCTGGCAGGAACACGAACCGGCACAGCCATGGAGACAGTCTGGCAGGTCCTCAGGAAGGTACACAGAATCGCCACGCGAGCCGGCAAGTCCACGCCTAGGTATATACCCCCAAAAAATCGAAGGAAGAAACCCCAGACACTTTTTCACAAACGTTTATAGCAGCATTATTCGTAATAGTCAAAAGGTGGAAGCAACCCAACTTCCCACGGACACATGAATGGATTAACAAAAGGAATGGAATATAACTCAGCCATAAGAGGAATGAAATTCTGATACATGGTACAACACGGACAAACCCTGGCCACATATGCTAACCAAAATACGCCAGACATGAAACGGCGCATGTTTTATTATTCCACTCAGGGGAGATACCGGAACAGGCAAAGTCACAGGGATGGAAAACAAAAGAGGAGGGAGATGAGTTATTGTTTAATAACAGTATAGCGCTTCTATATGGGATGACGAAAAGGTCAAGAAATAGAGAGGAGATGAGATACTGTGGATGTACTTAATGTCACTAAATTATACGAAGGGTCTTCAAAAAGTTTGTGGAAAATACATATTACAAACTATCCCTGGATTTCACGTTTTTTTCTGCCAAAATAAACCTATACTTTGAATCTGTCTCCACTAACTTTTTGAAGTCCCCTCTTATACTTAAAAATGATTAGAATGGTAAATTTTGAATGTTACCATACTTTACCACGGTTTAAAAACACCAATAACACACAAACAAATTATGTACAACTAGAAAAGCAAGGACCCTGCCCTGACTGCTCTTCCCCTCCTACAGAAGGAGTCCACGTCGCCGACTGGGGCACTCCCAGGCCACCGGGCCACCGGGCCACCCACCGCAGAACTGCAGGGTGAAGCCGCAGAGACAGAGTGCTCTCAGAAGTGGCCTGCAGAGGCTTTGGGGAAGTCAAGTATTTAATAGTCACCAAGCACTTCAAAGCCATGAGCTTAGACTGAAAACCACCGTCAAACTCTGCTTTAGGGCACTCTCGGGGATGACAGGCAAGCACATGACCCTGACTCCAACCCTGAGGAAAAACAACACAGAAGGAAAAGTGGGGGCAGGCCAAGAGAACTCCCGCAGGAACCTAAGGTAATCTGCATGTGACCCCACCCAGCCCCGCCAGGACCAGGACCGGGACCAGAACCATGCAGTTACACTGGCTTCCCACTCCATGTTCACAAACTCCTCGCCTGTCCCTCCCTGCCCGCTAGCACTGAGATGACTGTCTATTACATCTTCAAAGAGAAACAGCTCCCTCCATCTTTACACCACTGCTTCTCTCTCTCTCTCTCTAAGAATCATTTATTTACTATCATAATTTTTCAATATTGACGAGAGAGAGAGAGAGAGAGAGAGAGAGCAAGCGAGCACAGGCTACCAGGTCTGAAACTCGAACAGTGATGGGCCATTAAAGCCCAGCTCCTTTAACCACCACACCACCTGCTGACCCTGATCACTGCATCCTCTTAATCTCAAGGAATCCACATTTCAAGAAAGGCTGTCTTCACGTTCACATCTGCCTCATTTGAGACTCACTCTTCAACCCACACTGGTCACACCCACATCACGCCACAGCAGGGACCTTCTCTCTGATAAGTCCTAGGGGCCCTGCAAGCCCTCGCCTCACCTGACTGCACTGGACGCTGCTGCCCCTCTGCCTGCTGCAGACATGCCCTCCCTCGTCCCTCTCCTGGCTTCCTGCCTGCCTGCCTACCTTTTCTTTTTCTCCATCCTCGGGTTCTTGCTGGAGCCAAGCTCCCTTATCACTGTTCTGTGCCCAGGTCCTCGGCTCATCTGACTCTGCCCATTCCCGCGTGAATCCACCCTGACAACGTCACAGGCCATCTTCACACTGACGAATCCTGGCTCTGTTTCTCAACAAGTCCAGGTCTTTTCTCTTGACTTCTGGACTGGTAAATAAGATGGCTATTGGATACGCACGTGCCGAAGTCCACACTGCACTGCGCGGAGAGGCCTTCGTCAGCTTGCCACCTGAAGCTCTGCTTCCTCGCCAGCGTCCTCTAGCACTCCAGATGGCCCCACCTACCCCTCGCCCAAAAAGGGACCTATGGTTCTTCTTTTTTTTTTAATTTTTAAAAAAAATTATTTATTTATTCATTCATTCACTTACTTTTTCCTATATGGTGTATGTGGTTGCCAGAGAGAGAAAACGAGAAAGCATCCCTCTGGAGGAGACATTCCCCTACCTCCTGCAACCCCTTTTCCTCCATTCTGCCCGTGGGATTTGGGGCACACACATGGCCTGGTATGTTTTCAAGCTGCCAGGTCTGGAACTGGAGCCACAGTTGGCTGTGTGGGAATCCACCTTAACTACCACACCAGCTGGGCCCCCAACAGTTATTCTTGATATCGTCTCTCACTCGTTTCACATCTAAGAGAGGCCTGAGAAATCTTCCTGAACACTCTCAGAATCTGCTCACTGCTCTCCATCCCATGTGTGAGCTCCCAAGTCCAAGTCCTCACCAACTCTTGTCATTTACTTCAAAAGCTCCTCCAGCCTTCCCCCTCTGCCAGGCCTCACTCTAGTTCATCCTTCAAGAGAAGGATCTTTCTCCATGCAAACTGAGTATGCCATTCCTGATTAACACCCCCTCTGTGCTGCCCACAGCCCTGACAATGACGTCTAGGCCCAATGCCTGGGCACAGCAGATGCTCCACTGACGGGGCCATGCAGACAACACAAGCTGGTAAAGAGGCTGCCTCCCTTGTCTAAAAGGCAAGGCCTGGACTGGGAAGAAACCGTGAGGCAAGGCCTGGTTTACGAGCCCTCCCTTGTGTCATTGTACTGGCCGGTACTCAGTTTCTCTGCCATGAGCTTTACTGACGGTACCCCATAAGGGCAAAATAACACCCCCAGCCTTACTATAATTTTTACAATAATCCTGAAGGAATG